GACGGTTGCAGGGAAAGTTTTCTGACGAAATGCGAGAAGAAGTAGGATCAAACAGTCGTTTGAGCTATGAAAGCCGATTGGACTAAACTAAAAAGGGCTGATGCATTTGTCAAGAACACTGGTATGTGTTTCGGGCACATCACAAGCAGTGCACTCAATCATGGGAGGCAACTTTCTTCTTCAAAACTTCGCTAGTGGAGGGCTAACACACCTCGCCGTTTGCCACAATCTGCGTGTTGACATCGGGTACCGAATCGTGACTCGAAGACAGACGTATTGGTCGCGCTGCGTGGCACCTGTGGTGCATGGTACTGCACTGTTTTGCCCAAGCCCGACGAGCGTACCTGCTGAACCCCCGTCCCTGAGACCAGAAGTACCGGCGGATGCTCGAACATGCCGGCACCGTACTGACGACTTACTCTAAATACAGCGTGCATTTGATTCGGTCGCGTACCATGTGGCTGACGCATGAGGACATGACGCTTTGACATGACGAACATGGCGCTCTCACGCCCGAGTTTCTGATCATCCCAACTGTGCAGCCACATTCGTCTGCACACTTAAAGTCACCGTGGAGACAAAGTTTCACGTTGGTCGGCTGACGACAGCGCCGACAGTGCTGCCGCCACGTTGAATCAGCCAGCAACAAAGAACTGGTTCAGCTACCCGGGTCATGTTGCATCACTAAGCCCGGCAACGTCAACGTTTTTGTCGTGACTTCTTGGCCGCGAGAGGGCAGCACCGAAAACCACGCGATACCGATGATCTGGTGTTCGGTGCGACTGAGCGGACTATTCTGGAATTGTTCGATGTAATACGCTGCTGACATAATTCGATCCACCCTGATGGGCCAATTTCATTTGCATGAAAATTTGGCAGCTGACGGCCCGCGCTGAATCCCTTCGTGCACGCGTTTCCGCGGTTTATGGTCCTCATGAAGCCAATGCAGGACGAATGTATCAGCTCGACCCTCTTGCCAGGCATGGTGATCGAACGGCTCTGTCCAGTTCTCCGAGCCGCCCTTCAGTCACCTCGGAGCACCTCTTGCAGTCGCAGCTGCGTATGCCGGCGACCAGTCGGTCACTGCAACAGTTCCGGACAGAGGGCGTCCAGTGCAGACCGGATGGAAAGTCCTTGAGGGCCACAGCGAGCACGTGCTCTTGAGGCATTCACAGCCCAATGACATCGCGTTCGCTCACGTCACACGTCATCACTCACGGCTCGCTGGCGAGGTCTGGTCTGGAGGTTAGCATGCGATCAATCCGAGTAGCGATCAATATAGTGATCAAAGATAGTAGATCAATCTTCTGGCGGGTTCGTTGAGGTCCAATGCTCACCGGGCTGATGGGTACGTGGTGCTACCTTTACACTCTTCGGAGCGCTCATGGAGCAGAGCGACGACGTGAGTCCAAATTTATGTCTCCCCGCGCGTACACAAGCCGGTCCCTGACGAGCGGGCAGGGCCAATTGACACTTGTCAGCGGAGGTGGTACAGCACATTTGTCATGGACCCACTGGTGGCCCTGTATGTGCCCAATGATGACTTGTTCTTGCTATTGAAAGACATCTTGATGCTTTTGAGTAGAAATCTGCAGCGAGTGTCCCCATAATGTCTGCTTCCACACAAAGCCTTGGTAGATTTGATACAAATGCCTCCGTTATTGGTGTGGCACCATTGCCATCAGGCAAGCAAAAATATCAGGTACTAGACTTCAACGTTCCCATGGAGGAGACATTCACCCAGACAGAGGACATTGAAGTGCTGCTTGTTCAGCAATAAGCCGCATCGTCAATACAGGCCACCAGCCGATTCACGTAAAGGTATCCAACCTGGATCGCCAGTTTTGTAACTTGGTGCAGATGCGCCATACACCTTAGAGATCTATAATTAATTAATGCTCGCCCTGATTCGCCGTTTTAATAACACAGGCTGGCAGGCGGATCGATGCGATCCCTGGCGTTTCCAAGCTAACAACGATGGACCTCAGCGGAAAACGCTAGTGGGTTGGTTTCTGCAAAATACTTCGTGTAGTACAATTGTTTGTTGTTAGGTCAATATTTGCTTGACATGACCTGAATTGTTTCAGCTTGACATCATATGTAAGAAATTCTGCCTCGTGGTGACATAAAACATCAACAGCTGTGAGTTTCTTTGTAAATTCTGAAGTAAAATAGTATATTTTGTTATGTGTTTTGAGTATGCATTTATGGTATATAGCTCCGTTAATGTAACAAAGTCGTCGCCACGTTCGGCGGCATCGCCAGTTGCCGCCCGCCGACACGCACCGGTCGTAGATTACTATGCAGCGTTCCTCAAATGGACGCCCTTGCGCCGAAACTAGACAGGCTAGGATCAAGTCCTGAAATTCAAAACACAAGCAATGGACTTCCCATATGCCAATGACGATTTTGACGCGATTGCACAACATGCCGGAGAGTTATCCTAAAACAAACCGTAGCGGCTCGCATCGATCCCGTTAACAGCAAGGGTTAAAGATAATGTTCCAGATATTTATGCGGGTTTTGAACTGAAATGACCATCTTGAACACCTTTTGCTTGCTGTTCACAATCCTGCTCATCTTAAAACCCAAGCCCCACCCCCCCCCCCCCCACCCCAGTTTCTGAGCCGCACGCCCGCGAAAATGGAGAAAGGTATTTTGAAGAGAGTATTTCAAAGTCACCTTAGCATTCATGACGTCATATCAACGTAATTCAAATCCCACCATTCCAGTAGCCTTGCGGCGATCAAAGCCAAGACCATATAATTGTCGAGGCGTTCATAGCTGGCGTTCGTGAGCGCGATTTCCGGATATAACGACCGCCCATTGGTTCTCAATCAATATGCATGCAATGTATGATGTAATCAGACCATGACGCATTAAGGGGCATTTTTACTTAACGGATAACTGTGCTGTCTAGAGCAGTCTTTTGCACTTATAAAGTAGGGCATACCAGGTTTCCCAAGCCATCATATTTCCCGCGCTGTTCCACATTGCGCGCCACTGCCGCGCCCCTTCACGCGCAGGCGTGGCGCGGTGCACGTGCAGAGGCAGATGAAGAGTCAAAAAGAGTGGTTGTTGCGTGCCTCATCAAATGATGCCCTACTCCTCACCCGCTCGCAATATTCAGGTAAGTGGACCACGAATGTTCTCTAGTCAAACCTTTTGACAAGGATATTGCCCCAAACTAAGCCAAATACAATCGTACACACGTTTTGACGCCATGGGCAGCTGGCATCAAGCTGTTAGGTTTGAGGATGGCGGCGCCGCTTACCAAGAACGCTCACGAGTAGAACGCTCAGCAGAGAACCGATCTTGACAGAACCATAGACTGACTGAGGTTAGCACCGAAAGCCGAATTTCTTCTTTCATTTGTACATGCATTGACTTCCCAAACAAAACAATTAGTCTTGCAAGGCTTTGATTTGGATGTCAAACTAAATGCCAGACTTTTAAGCAGGTTATCATTATTCCTAAATCTCTTGTTGCCTTCGCGTTCAAATGCAATGCAATCCTGGTGCCAGGGATGCTTCGACGTCACTACCATGAACGGGCATCTCGATCCTTCGCCCCTCCGCTCTGCAACGGTATCTGCTCAATTCACAACTGAGCGGAAATTGTTACACGCAAAACTCAAACAATACTTGATCGTCGGTATGGTTGCTTGTTATTACTTTTAATTGCTATCAAGCATGCTTCTTTGCAAATAGACGCCATCACAACGTCCTCTGGACGCGCGGCTGCGCGCGCTTAAGGCCAGGCACATCATGTGTTTAGCGAGAGGAAGAAACACCCGCTTTACCTTGCATCAGCCAATAGGCGCTGGCTGCGGGATATCGGCCTCGTGTTACGCGCACATGCCTGGTTAATGGCTGAAAGCGGGCTGCAGTTGGAGCACGTGTGACAAAAAAGGCAGCGGCGCTAGGACGCTGGCCGACTCGAGTGAGGCTGCTCCCGGTGAAAGATGAGCATTGTTGTTTGAGGGCGCTCCGGCTGCAGGCTGTATTGCACCCACGCTCAAAATAGAATTGGACAAAATGGAGGTCAGTCAGGGTCAGAAGTTCATAAAAGCAAGATTGAAGTATAACTGCGCCCTTCAACTGTTGCTGTGTTGTAAAACGAAATTTTAACTACGTAATTTGCTTATTTCGTGTTATGCTGCAGTTGGCGAAGGTGTACCACCATATTTAAAAACAACATGACTGCTACACATTACTTCTAAGGATGTAATCGGTGAGTAGACCACATCTGTCCTAGGTGGTCTGCTAACGCAGAGCCCCAACCAGTATATAATGGCCAATTACGGCCGATAGTCGGAAATGAAGCCAAAGGAACCCGGCGAAAAATGCATTTTTTAGTAGCGCCGTGGCGTTGTCGCCAACATCTGCTTCGTTTGATCTATTATATCACTTGACAATCGATCAACAGCAGGTGGATGAGGCGTGCTGACGTCATCAGAAGAAGCAGCTGACTTAAGCTCGGCGGGAAAGGGGTGTCTCCGTTTTGCTTGTACTGTGGAGTTTCAAAAGCGGACGCCGTGCTCACAACCACACTGGACGGCGGTGAATTTGTCAGGACGAGGCTAGGCAACGCTGCATGAGATTGAAGTTGACTGAGGAGACAGCGTGATTGAGTAGGTCACAGGTTCGAACTGATCACAGTGCCATCTGTGTCTTCAGACAAGACGGGAGGAAGACAGGGCTGGACAGGACTAGGTGAAGCGACGGGTGACATCAGCCTGTGACAGAGCACCGGTCCCCTGATCGAGGCTTTGTACGAATAGTTACCGTATTTCGGCCTGCTTGCCTCCGTAGTGTCAATGATAGGAATATAATGTGCTTACGGCAACGGGCAGATACATGCCTAATGAGAGAAGTGAGTGGAAGTAAAGGAGACTTGGTGGGGCTGGGTGATGATAGATGTGGCTGGACGAGAATGGAAACCGTGCCGTACAAACAAGCATTTGCCCCCACAGTGTCTGCCCAGGTTAACATTCCAAACGGATGATTGCGTATATTAGCGATAGCGCTGGGATTGGACGTAGGGAATGTCCGACCATGGCATTTTGAGGCGTTTCCACACCGGACTATCCCCACGTCCAAGGCACAGTCACTCACACTACGGTAGCGGAAACACGATTCAATGCAACGCTATTCAATGGGAACGATGCGACACAGAGCCACAATGTCGCGCTCAGGCGACCGGCGGCAACAGCGCCGCCGCATCCACAGACAGACGGGGGGACAAACGCAGACCACGCTGATTTTCAGGGGGCCAGTCATGGGAGCACACCACAGAACGCGACTTGACACCAGCCAACAGGTCAGGGTCATCGGTGGACGAGAACCACCGCGACTTTAACCGGGTAATAAGGCACTTTGGTGACTGCTACACTAACGATCCTAGATCATAACACGACCCGGCCTAACGTGGGGAGTTAGTACTTGGAACTTTTTCTTCATGCACTTTTGATGCATGAATCTTTGGAAACCCGTTGCTACTGCACATCATCTCTCCTTCCGTTACCACCTGCTTCACACTTTGAAAAAACCGCATGCCTTACCACCGCATGACATGGCACGTGATGACATGAGACGAAAATTTGATCGCGCATGAGCCGTAACTGAACAAAAAATTCCTTTTGCGTGCGGAGTAACGAACTCGACTGTGTCACAGAAAGTTTCAAATCCGTTATTGGAGAACGTAGGTCAGCAAAGATCTTTTCGGGCAGCAATCGCAATTTCGGGCCCGGTGGTGTTTGAAGTTTTTCAAAACTCTTGGTTGGAGGAATTTCTGCAGCTGGACACCGTTCAGCGTCTTAGGCCTTGGTGTTATCTGCGCAAATTTTGTAGAGTATGCTGTCGATTCTGACACAGAGCAGAAGCAGGATCAGCACCAGCAGAATGCCTGAAACAGGAATTACAGTCGTACAGCACCTGACAGGAATAGTGCCACATTTCGTCGTGCATACACGCACAACGTACGGTTCCCTCAAGCATGCTTTTACTCCAAGATTACCATGGCACTATAGGAAAATCAATGCTGTGATGACAAGGCAACGCTCGGTAATGAACAAGGTGCAGTGAACGTAACATGTTCAGAGTGAGGGACATGGCAAGGAACAACGTTATAATGAAAATTGTGAACATCTTCACCACTTCATCTTCCCACCAGTAACTGTACCACGAGCGTAATGCATCTAGGACCAGCGGCCGTCACGGAATCCCCGGGTTGTGAGCCAAAGCAGACGTTACGCGGGCTCTGACGTCACTGCATGACGTCACTCACCATAACTCGAGGCATCACGCACCTGCCGCCGCCGGAATGGTGACCTCCAGGAACAGTCCGTTCGTGTAGGTGCTGTGCTTATTATGCACGTAGGGTGTTGTTTTGGGCATAGGCTTTGTTGTCGTCGTGGCGACCGTGGTGGTGGTGGTAGTGGTGGTGGTCGTGGTGGTGGTGGTGGTGGGGTCCATCTCGCAAACGTTGCCGGAGCCCAGGTTGCCGAAGACGTACACCGTAGGACTGGCCATGGCGCAGGTGATGTCGAGCTCGTTCAACTCTGTTCCACTGCTGGATTTCAGGCTGGAAACCAGACCAAGGCCAAAGTCAGTGTCTGACCCAGGCTGATGTCAGAGCCAGCGTGCCACAGCTGTTGGCCCAAAACAGTATGCGACACAACCTTATGTCCAGCTCATCTGTCGTTGACGGTAAGCCCCTAGTTCAGATAGATTAGGCAGGCCAAAACTGATACCAAACCGCATTCAAGTGAATGAATTGAAGACCTACGAGCGGAGAGGACATAGCGCATTACCGCGACGGCAGTCCGACCCCGCGCGACCCGGCTGCGATCCCACATTGCGGTGAGGCCAGTGCATGCTTCCTGCGGAGGGCATTTTATTCCAACGCTTGGTCCATGCGTCCCTCTACAGTCCCCGTTGCCTAGCGCCAAGAACTGACGTGTATCCGGGCATGCAGTAGTAGGTGGCCTTGCTGTCCAGCGCCTTGGAGCCACTCCAGCTGCGCTGGCCGTTCTCCATCGGCGGCGGCGGCTCGTTGGAGCACTCGATCACTGGCAGGAGAAGATACAGCAACGGGACTGCGTTAGCACGACTGCACACCGTCCCATCCGGCACCGCCCCCAGCCTGGAGAGGACGACGGTTGGGCGCGCTGCCGCGGAGGTCACCAGTCATAACAAGTAACGAGACAAACAAGTAACAACTGTAACAAATAACAAGATGGCACCCGTTGTGTAACGACACGGCCAGCCGGCGGCGGTGGGTTCTTGTGCAATGTACGGCCGACCTTCACATGACACGTTTGATCTCGGCAACCTCTGCACAAAAACCCGTCATATTCAGAGATGACAGACCGCCCTGCCCTCTTGGCGCCAAGGTAACGGCTAATCACAAGACGGGGCAGACCAACAGGGTAGACCAGTTTTTACGCATATTCAGGCGGGTAATAGGCTCCCCGTGCAGGATAGTTGATTTAATTAACTTCCGTGCGACCATGATCGCCAAAACTCTTACCACTTTCCCATTTTATGTTTCTTTAACCCTGGGTCTATTGCGTCCGTTTGACAAAAATTTACGTTGCGATTGTTGAAAAAGTTCCCTTCGCAAACGTATTGTATTTAAGGCACGTTGATACACCTTTCAATCCAATAACGAATCGACCTGTGTTCATAACGAAGGCTATTTGCGAGCTGTACACTAGGTCGAGATATTACAAGGCACTCTTCGATGGCCGTTTTGCTCCTGTGTGAATGGAAGCTGTAGATGCCGAAGCCAACAGCTCACATTGTACAATGACACACATGATATAACATGACGCACGCACTGTGGGCGCTGGGGTGGATGGCGTGTTTGGCTGCACTGTGGTACCGTCCCGCAGGATATAGGCATATATACCCCCCCCCCCCATCCCCCGCTGAGGTCTTACGGACGATGTTTGGCCGCAATACGCTGCCGTAAGGTTCGACAACTGTATGATTCTCCCGTGGACAGGATGGACAGTGCATAACTACAGAAGCAGGAAGAAACACCTGCATTACTGCTGTGAACGGATGGGCGGTGCGTAACTGCGCTGTGGTTCTTGGGAATGGATCACTGTGCTGTGGACGGATGGAACTGTGATGGCGATGACAAAAGATACTCTGTTGTAGATGAATGGGCAGTGTGTGACTGAGCTGTGGGTTGATGACTGTTGATGGCGATGACAAGATGACTCTGTTGTAGATGAATGGGCAGTGTGTGACTGAGCTGTGGGTTGATGGACTGTTGATGGCGATGGCGAGATGACTCTGTTGTAGATGAATGGGCAGTGTGTGACTGAGCTGTGGGTTGATGGACTGTTGATGGCGATGACAAGATGACTCTGTTGTAGATGAATGGGCAGTGTGTGACTGAGCTGTGGGTTGATGGACTGTTGATGGCGATGACAAGATGACTCTGTTGTAGATGAATGGGCAGTGTGTGACTGAGCTGTGGGTTGATGGACTGTTGATGGCGATGACAAGATGACTCTGTTGTAGATGAATGGGCAGTGTGTGACTGAGCTGTGGGTTGATGGACTGTTGATGGCGATGGCGATGACTCTGTTGTAGATGAATGGGCAGTGTGTGACTGAGCTGTGGGTTGATGGACTGTTGATGGCGATGGCGAGATGACTCTGTTGTAGATGAATGGGCAGTGTGTGACTGAGCTGTGGGTTGATGGACTGTTGATGGCGATGACAAGATGACTCTGTTGTAGATGAATGGGCAGTGTGTGACTGAGCTGTGGGTTGATGGACTGTTGATGGCGATGGCGAGATGACTCTGTTTAGATGAATGGTGTGTGACTGAGCTGTGGGTTGATGGACTGTTGATGGCGATGGCGAGATGACTCTGTTGTAGATGAATGGGCAGTGTGTGACTGAGCTGTGGGTTGATGGACTGTTGATGGCGATGGCGAATGACTCTGTTGTAGATGAATGGACAGTGTGACTGAGCTGTGGGTTGATGGACTGTTGATGGCGATGACAAGATGACTCTGTTGTGGATGAATGGGCAGTGTGTGACTGAGCTGTGGGTTGATGGACTGTTGATGGCGATGGCGAGATGACTCTGTTGTAGATGAATGGGCAGTGTGTGACTGAGCTGTGGGTTGATGGACTGTTGATGGCGATGACAATGACTCTGTTGTAGATGAATGGGCAGTGTGTGACTGAGCCGTGGGTTGATGGACTGTTGATGGCGATGACAAGATGACTCTGTTGTAGATGAATGGGCAGTGTGTGACTGAGCTGTGGGTTGATGGACTGTTGATGGCGATGGCGAGATGACTCTGTCTGTTGTAGATGAATGGGCAGTGTGTGACTGAGCTGTGGGTTGATGGACTGTTGATGGCGATGGCGAGATGACTCTGTTGTAGATGAATGGGCAGTGGTGACTGAGCTGTGGTTGATGGACTGTTGATGGCGATGGCGAGATGACTCTGTTGTTAGATGAATGGGCAGTGTGTGACTGAGCTGTGGGTTGATGGACTGTTGATGGCGATGGCGAGATGACTCTGTTGTAGATGAATGGGCAGTGTGTGACAGCTGTGGGTTGATGGACTGTTGATGGCGAGACGACACGACTTGTTGTAGATGAATGGGCGTTCGTGACTGGAGCTGTGGGTCGGTGGACAGCTGGTGACTGGCCGCGCGCCGAGCGTTGCGGTATCGGCCGTGTTATACCGACAGACGGCCGGCGCCGACTCACACGAGACGACCGTGTCGGCATTGGAGATAGCCTCGCCGCCCAGTGTGCCGCTGCTGGTTACGTTGGTCACCGCCTCTTGGACCTGTGAACAACAACCGAGGACTGTCACCACGCTGATCGCCACCAAACGAGCCAGCCGGAGACGCGCGTACTACCGGACAGGACAGCCGGAGCCGCACGTACCAACGCACAAGACAGACCGGAACCGCGCGTACATCGCACAAGACTGCCGGAGCCGCCGTACCACCGTACAAGACAGCCCGGAGCTGCGCGTACCACCGACGAGGCAGGCCGGAGCCGCGCGTACCACCGGACAAGACAAGCCGGAGCATGTGCACCAAAGCACAAGACAGGCGGGAGCCGCGCGTACCACCGGACAACAGCCCGGAGCCGCGCGTACCACCGGACGAGGCGGCCGGATCCGTGCGTGCCACCAGACAAGACAGGCCGGAGCCGCGCGTACCAAAGCACAAGACAGGCCGGAGCCGCGCGTACCAACGCACAAGACAGGCCGGATCTGTGCGTGCCACCCAACACAGGAAGAGCCGCGCGTTACCGCCGACGAGGCAGCCGGAGCCGCGTATACCATCATACAAGACACTAAGAGCCGCGCGTACCGCCAGACAGGTATTGCTACCTTTCACCAAAAGTAGCCATAATTTTCAGTAAAGCACATCCAATTTGTCCTTACGTTGGACAGATCGATATTAGCTGAGACCTTTTTTGAATGCATCAACCGCCCGGTCGTTGGCAAGCCATACCCGGCACCTCGAGCCCGTCCGGTTGGCTACAGGTGTCAGGGAGCAGGCGCGGCCGGGTGCCGCCCCCGCCCTCCCCCTTCGACCCCCGCCCCGGACACGTCAGTTGCCGGGACCGGGCGTGGCCACCGGCACAGGGTCCGCTATAAAACCGGCGGCCACGCATCGAACGTCACATCGCCAGCGAGTTCAGCCATGAAATCCTGGTAGGTTGCCGGCGGTGCGCGCTGG